GCCATTCCTTCAGTTTAACCACAAACCATACAACCATGTATGGCACTTCAGCTGAACTTACCAGAACAGCAACATGCACCTCATCTAATGAGTCTGTAGACACAGATAGTAGTGCTCCATTTTAAGTAAACTAATAACCACAAAATCAGCTGCTGCTTTAACTGAAGTTAGTGTTACTACCCTACTGGTAGCACTTCATCTGAACCTGTCAGCATAATTGTGAGTCCAAATCTCTTAATCCAAACTTGTCACTGTAACTCTAAGCTTCGTTCCTTCAACTGAATACATTACCATGACCACAATTATCTTTTCAATTGAGGCCACAGCCATGAGAAGTAGGTTCATATTAACTAAGTCTATGACCATCGTAACTTTTACTGAATCTACTATCATAAGATTACAACTGCAGCACTTCCTCTGATAACAGCCTCACTCATTGGTATCCACAGTGGCCAAAATTCATACTTAAGTTGAAGCTACAACTGCATAAATCATCCAACAACTTTAGCTCAGCCCTGAATTACTTTCATATCAAATGAACCTACAAATTACTATTACTTTAACAAAATCATCAGACACTGCTACCTTCACTTCAATTGAATTTACAGCCCTCACAATAGCTACCTCCAACTCAGTTACTGAATCTACTCTGTTTTCTGATACAACTAAAACATCATCTTTAACCTCCACTGCCACCAACTCAACTAAATGAAAACCAACATATACACTACTAACTCAACTGACCCTTTGATCATAACTCCCTAGCAATATCAGCTCAATTTACAATCTTCATAAGCATCATTACCTGTTAATAGAAAATGCAACTACAGTTTATACATAATCTGCTAACAAAGTATTGCCAGTTCTTCCACTGCCTTTTCAAAAAAGTCCATTTATAGCCACATCAACCATGTCACATCATCAAAATGTGCTGCTCCCATAACATCTACTTAAATTTCACAATAGAGACCACCACAGTTCTACTGTATGTACTCCTACAACAGACAAAACTTTACGAATATTTTAATACCCTATCACTGAACTCTACAAGCATTACAATTTCTATTGGCATGTTATTCAATGCCATTCACTACTTATTCATAAATCAGGAACTATCAATTTTTCTAGTAAATTTACTAAGTCAGATTACTACTCTCACTTGACAAAAATGTCAACTTTCTAATGACCTAGTCTAGGGCAACTGTGGCTAGTATACCTACAAATTAAATTCTAATACCTACTATTATCATTCCTATACCAGATTCTGTATCTACCATCAGTACCATGGGGAATTCTATGACCAGTATTCCAACATATCACTCCAACAATGTGGGGTTATGAAACAACCACCTCTAAAACAAGATTTACTTATTGACCAGTTCAGCTATTACTACTGTGACAATGAAATTTATTTTTCATGCCTACACTCATTTTCATGCCTACGCTTAGATTTTAAAATACTGCTTAGCAGACCTGAACATTTATTGTGGAGTTTTTCTGTTTTCTCTGTGAAGTTTTAGATAATACAATTTTTCATACAGAGTAAATTCAATCTATTTATATACGTTGGAAACCCATTCTGGTTAAATAAGTTCCCAAATATGAATATAGTCTTTTATTATTCCAAAGTTTTAGTGCTTAATACATAAACTCCGTATGTAATAGGGAAAGGACATTCTATATGGTGAGGGTATATTGCATGTATGAACTACTACATTTCCTTTTCAGATTGTATAAAATTATTTCCATTTCATTATTTACTGTTTAAATTGTTTTGGTATTTAAGTAATATTAATGAATGTGTTCTCACTATTTTTGGTTTTAAAAACGTATTTTCTGCTATTTTTTCAGTAATCTTATACAGTCATTCAATTAAAAACCTTGAGCAAACATTTACTGTGTGCCTGCTATCTGCTGAAATACTGAAGAAAATTTAGAAAAAGGAAATAGCAATGCAGGCCAAGCACAAAGGCTCACACCTGTAATTCCAACATGTTGGGAGCCTGAGACAGTAGGATTGCTTGAGGTCAGGAGTTCAAGACCTGCTTGAGCAACATGATGAGACTCCGCCTCTATAAGAAAGAAAAAAAAAATAGCTGGGCGTGGTGATGCATGCCTATAGTCCCAGCTACGTGGTAGGCTGAGGTGGGAGGATTGCTTGAGTCCAGGAGCTCAAGGCTGCAGTGAGCTACGATCATGAATCATGCCACTGCACTTAGGCATGGGTGACAGAGCAGGCCTCTTAAAAAAAAAAACAAAAACCCAGATGACAGTAAAAAACTTACAAATTTGGATTGTGTTATTTAGAATTCTTGGTAATTGACAAATTTAAATTAATGTTGATGGTACTTGCATTCCAGTGCAGTTCTATTGACTCAAAATCATCAAGGATGGGCCAGAATTCTATATTTTTTAAAAGGTGTGCACCCAAGGTTCATAACTACCCATTGAAGTGTTGAATTCAGTAAGACATTGTGACATGTTATAGCTTTTAGATGGTGTTGATGAGATTGATATAAATCACTTGACAGTTTTTAAGCACTAAGAAAATTCAGTCATTTTTTTGGTATGTGTTAGTTCTATGTATAAACAAAAGATGGCAGTATATAGGCACTTCACTTGAGCATGTGGTTGGGAGTGGGAGTGAAAATGCTTTATTTACCAAAAAAAAAAAAGTATTCTCAAGAAATTTAAAACAAAGATTTTGATAGCATTTATGCTACTTAGAAATTGTATTTAGCTGTTTTTTGTGTCATTCCTATAGAAGTACTTCCCGTCTTTTTGCTAGCCTGCTTACTGTAATTATATGCAATTAATGTAACAAAACTGCCTTCAAATATTTTAATTCTATTTATTTCCTTCTTATATTTTCAATTAGTATTACTTTATTATTAAATGTATTACTGATTAAACTTTTCTCTTTCTGCAAATTCTTTCACAATAAATTTTAGTTAAAGTTACAGTAAAATAACTTTTATTAGTCATAACTTTCACCATTTTCTAATTCTAGATTTCTGCCTCTAATTAGGATGAGAAATGTTCCAGAGTAAATTAATTATGTAAATAAATACAAGGTAGTTTGTTTTTTTAAAGATAGATTTTCCCAGTTTAACACATTGTAGGTGCTTAATAGGTACTTATTTAATGCAGTTGACCCTTGATCTCTGCTCTGTCTAAAATCTGCATATAATTTTTGACTCTTCAAAAATTTAACTACTAATAACTTACTATTGACCAGACGACTTTCTGATGACATAGTCAGTCACCAGATCTTTTGTATATGTATTACATACTGTATTCCTATAATAAAATAAGCTAGATAAAAGAAAATATTTAAAAAATCAGAAGGAAAAGAAAATACATTTACTATTTATTAATGTAAGTAGATCATCATAGACTTCTCCTTGTCTTCATGTTGAGTAGGCTAAGGAGGAGAAAGAGGAGGGTTTGGTCTTGCTTTCTCAGTGTGGTGGAGATGTAAGAAAATTTGCTGCATAGTTCAGTTTCATGATGTTCAAGGGTCAACTGTGAGCACATAAATGCATCATAGAAAGACAACATGAGGTTAACTTTCTGGAGCCAGGGACCTGCCTCTATGTTTAATCACTGTGTGTACCTGGCAGCTAGTTGATAATAAGTATTTGTTCCACAAATAAAAATAGTGATCATTGTAAGAATTTATTACCAAACTAAGATGACTAGAATTGGAATTATACTGTTAACTCAATTTTTAATCTACTTTTGTTTATGCTAATCTATTCCTATTAGTATTAGTTTTCTAATTTTTTAAGTTGAAGTACAACTAAAAATTAGAAGAAAATGCACAAATCATAAGACACAATGCGATGAGTTATCACAAAACGAACACACCCATATATAAATCAAGAAATAGAACATTATCAGCACTTCAGAAACTCTCATGTGCCATTCCCCAATCACCACCTCATTTTTCTTCCCCACAAAGTAAACACTGTTCTGATACCTAACACTGTTAATTACTTTGTCTGATTGTGAATATAGTAGAAATGAAATGGTACCGCATGAATTCTCTTGTGTCTGGCTTCTTTGGTTCAACCTTAAATTTGTGAGTTTTTTTTATGTTTTTGCTTATACCAGTGGTTCCTAGTGTTAGATACTGATCACCATACATTTATTTTCCACGAGGCTCTCCAAAGGACCCTGCATCATTTCCCACTTCTCTGCAGTGTTATCTAGTCATAAATCACAACTGTCCTTTGACTCCCATTATCCTTAATTAATTAATTTGCTTGATTAATTCTCCCTGTGTGTAACCAAGGTCCCATTTCATGACATTCCTACCATCCTTCTGTGACACAAATGTCCCTTTCATGCCACTCAGCTATAGCACCCAGCATCATGTCTCCTAACATCCTCTTTACCCTGTTCAGACTCTGACTGACCTTCCAGAGCCATCTGGCCCCATTCACTTTCAAAGCAGAGGCCTGTTTTGTTCTGTGCCACTTAACGAGCTTTAGGGCTGAACAGTTCAGAAAGAAGAAAAAAGAAGGGAAAAAGAAAAAGTAAAAGCAAAAGCAAGAGAAGAAGGATTTTATGTAGTTTGAGGTTACCTTATTTTCTCTATATGAAGTTGGCCTCAAAGTTGTCAACTTAAAGAAACCGAGACAAAATTAAAATAAGTAGAGAGCTTATTTGAATC